AGCCAGCCAGCCAGCCAGCCAGCCAGCCAGCCGGGTTGCACTGCCTCTCCCAGCCATGTCAGCCTGGCCCACCCGGGGCCCACCATGAGCGATGGCCATGTCCGTCAGCCTGGACGAGGAGGACTATGACTCGGAGCAGGACCAGGTGGGGTCCGGGCGGGCATGGCATGTGCCGGCGCGTGGGCATGCCTGCCTGCCTGCTGCCACGCTGGTGGGTGGGTCCGTCTGGTGTCGCGGGAGGTGCAAAGTTTGCACCGGCGCCTCTTTCCTCTCCTGCGCAGGGTGGCGAGGAGGCCGGGGGGGACCCTCTCCTAGGGGGGGCCGGGACAGGGAGGGGGGAACCTTCCAGAGCCAGCATCCGGCCTTGTCTGCCTTCTTCCCCTTGCTGGGCCGGGGAGCTCGGCCCAGTGGGCAGCTGGAGGACGGGCACGGGTGGGTGTGGAGGTGGCCCTCCGAAGCCAACTTCACAGTTTTTCTTCATTGTTCTGAAAGGAAGAAGTTGCTTTTAGTTTTCTTTGCAGAGGATTCCCAGGGCAGCCGAAAGATTCTGGAGGGGCAGGACGCTGGATCCTGGGGTGCCTGGAGATCAGCGAAACGTGTTCTTTTAGGAGTGAACGGAGGGGTGTGTTTGTGTGTGTGCATGCGTGCATGTGCGTATTGCAGCTTCCTAATGATTTCTCCCTTCCTGGAATGGGAGACTTAATCCTATCAAGATAGCGAATGGATTCTCTTCCACGTTTATAGTAAAAAAAGCATACGCGTGTGGCATCTTGAAGGGTGCTCCGTAATGTAAACTTGCACCGGATCACTTAGGATTCCATTTAGGATTTAGAGGTGAAAATGCAACCCTTTCTTTGCCTTGATTAACTCAGAACTAAAGTGTGATTCTTGAGCTGGGAAGCCGGGCCCCCTTGACGTACCATGGGTTTGCTTCCAGGTATCCAACTGTAATATATTTCTTAGTCCTTGAATTGCAGTGGGACTGGCCATGTCCTACGAGTTAATGTGTTTGCTCTTCTGTAATATTCCTTCCTTTCTTTATCCTGCCTTTTAACGTTTATCAAGGCAACCAGTTGGGTTATTTATACTTTGTCTAACAGGTTTAATATTTTAGCGGGTGGGTTAAAAACACCAAGCAGAATTAAGGTGAATCCCAAAAGGCTTTTAAAAAAGTTGTTATTATTTATTGTTGTTGTTTGAAATTAAGAGCTGCACATTAAGCTGATCTCAATTCTGCAGTAAATTTTGTATCTTGTCAATGATTTTTAATTTTTTAAAAATGGGTCGCTTTGGTGTCTTGACTTGCTCCTTTGGGGAAGAATATAAACCTTGGATCTGGGCCATGTCCTACGAGTTAATGTGTTTACTCCTCTGTAATATTCCTTCTGGGTATTTCTTTATCCTGCCTTTTAACATTTATCAAGGCAACCAGTTGGGTTATTTATACTTTTTGCAAAGTATAAAGCAAAGAATCTTAGCCGAAGATAAAAGTTGCTGCTAAAAAAAATCCCTAAATGGTTAAAAAAAAAAAGAATAATGGTTTGGTTGTTAAAGTGTTGCAGTTCCCTTTCCTCAAACTATGGTTGCTATTTAGACCCCGCCTTCTTAATCATGGCTTAATCATGGCTGAGTTCATGAAAGGGAGCAAAACAGCATTTGTTTTAGCTCTGGTTTGCTGAACAAACACACAGATAAGCCATAAACCACTGTCTATAAAATAATTGGACGGGTTCATGGTAAACCAGGATTTTTAAACTATGGTGTGTTGAACGAGCCACAGGACATAGTTGGCACTTTGTGCTCGGCCTGAGTGGGGGAACTTCGGACATTGCGCTACGCTGAAAGCATGGGAATGACTTGATGGTTTAGCTTGGTGTGTAACCCCAGTGATTGTGTAATATGCAAAAAGGCCAAACTAGGATTGTCCCCAGTTCCACATCACTTTGGCCCCTTGGTTTAACCAGAATTACTTTGCTTCTGTGCCAGGGATGAGCATTAGTTTATAAGGCTTCCTAGAAAGAGGAATGTTCTTTTCATTGACAATTATATGCCAGGTCTTCTCAGCAGGTTCCTGGGAAGTCTCTCCACCTGGCTGATGGGGGTCTTACTCCCTTTAAATGAGCTAAGAGTCCCCGTTGGGATCTGAATGGCTGTTTTTGGCCAACTGTGCAGTCACATCTGGACAGGCCTTGATGTGTTTGACTTCGCCAAGTCATGGCCAAGGATCCTCAACTGGTTGGCAGGGAGACTGGGAACTGAAGTTTGAACATTTCTGGAGAATAGCAGGTTCACTTCCCCCTTGGCCAGCTTGTCCTCACTGGGTGCCTCAGATGGTCATCTTTTTACTCATGTATTCCAGGGGGGTTTCAAGCTTTTTCAGGCCATGGAACCTGTTAGTTAAAAAAAAAAAATCCCCATCCCCAAAGCCTTGAACAAGAGGCAAAACTCTAGTGATAGAAAGTTGGCTGGGTTCAAGCAAACTTCTGCAGAACCTTAGGTATAAACCTTGCTCTCTTCAACCTCACACAGCGGCGGTTAGGGAAATACACATGTGGGTCTTTTAAAATGGAGGGCAAATTAAACGTGCAATAAATAAATGCATGTTAATCTCTGAGAAATGGAAGAGGTTTGGAAAATGTTTTGGAGTTGGCATTTCTGTGTGCCTGTTTTATACTGAGGGCGGTGGAAATATCTCACACGGCTTGAACAAAAAGACCATTGCTTGGCCATGGATAATTTCTTACCACCTGTTTTCTGCAGCTAATCCATAGATGGAATCCCCAGGCAACTCTTCCCAGTTTATTTACTTATTTACTTATTTTATTTATTTATTCAATTTGATGACGCCCAACTCCAAACAATTCTGGGTGACTTACAATACACCAAACAATATAAAAAGAATGGAAACAGCAAAAAGCAAAACCAAACTTCGGTTGTAGAAAGGATTATAGAAAGGCCTCATTCCCGATCTTCTAAAAATCACATAAGTATTTACAGGAATTGAAGTCTGCTGATGTGCCTTGCATCTCGTGGAGTTCTACCTCCACGAGTTGGCATCAGCAAAAACTTATTCCAAAAGGAACACAATAAATTAAATATAGGAATTGCATTTTTTACTCAAGTTTCTTGGTTTGTTAGCTTTCGGTTTGGAAGTTAGCGATGCATTCCCCCATTGTATTAAACTACGCTTTGCCTAATTCTCACATATTTGGAATACTATTTAATGTATTTATTGATTGTTTTTAACCTGGTTGTACTCAGCCCAGAGTTGCTTGGAAAAAGTGAGATGGGCGGCTAATAAATTGTGAAA